ATATCTAATAGATTTTCTTGAGCTGTATAAAATCATTATTAAATAATATATATATTTTTTTTTCACAGTTGATCATCGTAATCCGTTAGATAATTGATGGGATGGTGGCATATTTTCTTAATGTGATATTGTATGTTTTATTTTTATTTATGAAAAGCGACGCCTAGTGCTCAGGTGGGGATATTTTGCGCATTGAGAATTGCGCATTGACCTTGTTTGTTGTCGACATTTTGGGGAGTAGTTATTAAAAAGCTCATTGATTCAGAATATTCTAGAATTCAGTAAACATATAGCGATATATTGTTAATATAAGTTTTAAATATTATTATTCACATGAATGATTGTGTCATTTAATTGTAACAACTTAGATGGTGGTGGATACGTTTATAATCTGTTGTTACTAATTTAGGGGTAGTTTAGACCAAGATATTGCTGAGTTGGCGCTTCAAGCAAAGAAGGTAGGAATGTTCAGCCAGATGAATTTCACGCATTTTTTATTATTTCAAATCCAACATACTTTATTTAGAGGATGAAAAAAATGTTTTTGCTAGCTGAAACACTGATTAGTATGAAGCTGAGCATTATAGTAACCGGGCTTAGTGATGTAAAATAATATAATTCTTTATAAAACTATTAGGCGGAAATGGACAAGAGAGAAGTACGAAGTTAGGCCTAAAGTAAAAATGGCTCCCAGTTTACAATTGTTTGATATCAAATTGTGTTTCACTTATTAATCTTTAAAATTAACATGAAATTTAAAGGTATACATTTGCTAATTGATCTTAATCAAGGCTTTATATTTTGTTTTTCATGTAATAGTAATGATTATTGTGACTAGGGAATTACCGTGTAAGATTCTTCAATTGTAATTATATTTATAACTGTATTTAGCTTTGTACTTTTTAACATTATATTCATACTTAAGACGTTAACTTTAAGTGTAGGTGTATAAATATATTTATTCTGTAGACTTGTCTAGGTCAGAAATTTTCAAATTAGCTTAAATTGCATATTGACCTTTTACATATTGACTCTTTCCCCATTAAATAAGTTTAACTTAATTTTTTTATAAATAGTAATGCTCCTTTAAAAAAATTCTTGACTCAGATTTACTATATCTTGTAGTATAGTTCTTTGAATGTATAACTTAGATTGGATTACACTTAAGTATTTTAAACTTGTGTTGTTAGCAGTATTCTAATAACAAGACAAGAGTTAAGATTTTTGGATATTTATAGTAATACGAGTCATAAAATGTATTCAGAATCTGCTGCTCTTACATTTATTTTTAGTAAGTCATCAGAAAGTAGGTGTTTTGTTTGGCAGTTGTCAAGTTCAGTTTTTGAACTTTTGTTTAATTCCATCTGGGCTGGAGAACATCTTTAAAGTCGTCTATTAAGTCAGCCCTACACGTACATTATTCCGATTTGTGCGACAGCCCATTGCAAAGATAATTTTCTTCATTATGTCAGAAAATATTGATATTCAACAACACTTGTCCCTACCACAAATACAGATATGTGCATCTGATTTGGCAGGAATCTTGAAATAACATTTGAAAACAACCTGTACTAGTATTGCACAGCTGGTCATGAAGTAAAAAAAGTTGAAAAACCAACACAACATGGCTTGTGGGAATAAGTTGGTCATAAATTAAAGAAGTGGAAATAATTTGTTATATGACAAATGAGATTATGTTTGAAGCATTGACCTCTCTTACTATCACAATAAAGCATATTTTTGTAACTTTGACAATAACATGTTAAGTTATATTGTTAGTCAGCAGTACCTTATATAATAATGGATGTACAGTTACAAAAAGTATGTTGTTTTATAAATAAGAGAATCCATTGCTTCTAACTGGTTTTCTGTTGTCTTATAGGTTATGCCTAACTTATTAATTCAAAAATGCAACTTTTAAATTGGGTAAGTTCAAATTAAATAATAATAAAAAAAAAGTATGTTTTCAACCCATGGTGTCAGGTCATCAGGAGATAAGTTACATTCAAAATGGCAGTTATATTATAGGGAATGTTACTTTTAATTTTAAGTGTTCTTTTACATAACTTTTAAAAGTTTCCTAAGCAAATATCAAAATTTTTTTGTGAAACTTTATACTTGATCTTTGATTTTCTCTAGCTTAACACTTAACTGTAGCAAAATCATCCACAGCAAAAATTCAAGAATATGAAATAAAATCAGAAATGTTTGTTTTCTAGAATGACTACAGATTGTAACAAAGAATTACAATTATTTATCCTAAACAGCCTCAGGTTTCAAACAGTTTCACGTTTGTTTGATACAATTTAATTGCTTTATTATTCTTTGAAAAGATTCTAATTGTTACATTTGAGTTACTTTTGTTAAATATATATAGCAGTAAATAAATAGGAAATATGAATAAAAAACCCTATAACTTGAGTGCTTTCGAAAGGTCCACCTATTGAAAGTGCTCGGGTTATATGGTTTTTATTCTTTTCTCTCAAGACTTCTTGAACCTACATGTTTTTCATAAATAGGAAATATGGTACAAACTTTAGCCTCGGCCTTTTGTACTTGGGTGCATGGTTTATTATTTTTCCTCACTATTTATGTTGTCCAAAAATTGATGTATCTTTTAGTTATGTACTTCAGAATACAAAATATGTTGAATATTGGAATGTAATGTTCCAAAACTGATTACATCTAGCTTTCCAGTTATCATATAAATAGGTTAATTTCATTGCTGATTGAAGCAACTTTAGTCCAAACAGGTCTTGCAGCAAATTATTCACTTTTATCGGTAAAACAGACATATGATTTATGTAGTGTAGAATTTGCTCTTATTTTTATTGGTTATGAATATGTCCCAAGGAATGTCAGAGAGAATCAAGACATTTCTTTAAAAGACAGAATATGGGAAGAGCATGTGGGTCAAATGAAGTGGTATCTGAGTAAAAGAAGAAGAGGTTGAAATTTTGTATTTTGGCTTTTCAATGTCTATATCATGTTGCTGATTGGTTGAACATTAAAACCCATGTAAAGAAAGAGAAAAAATCTGTAAATGAAAAGTCACATCACTGTCATGTGAGTGAGAAATGAAGATTGAGAACTTAAATGTTTTATTTTGAAGTTGGAAAGTTTAATATAAAAATTATCATTATAAACCGTTTTGGTTCCGAAACCATTTACATATATTAATAATAGTAGTTTAAATTTTGAATGTAACTGTAAAAAGTTTGTAACATGCACACTTTGATCCACCCATATCCAGAGGGCTAATAGAAAATGAGAAGTTATTTTATTACTTGGAAAATTCAGAAATCTTAATTTTGATCAGTTGGTTACTTTTGTGACATTAATTGATCTTGATTATTTTGACACTAATCAATGTTCATAGATAACTTAATCACCAAGCTCTAAATACCTTGTTTCATGTCACAGCATTTGATCTGTACAACTAATGAAGCTCAGCTTAGATAGAGCCAATTAGAAACTATTTACATCATTGTGGTCAATAAAATGGTGCGAGAAATAATTTATGGTTTTAAGGGAAAGTGATTAGATGTAGCTCCTGCAGAAAACAAACCACATTCATAAAATTGTTTTTTAAATTATATATGCCTAAATGGTATTAAAGTTTCCTGTGACATTCAAGTTTGAACATAAATAATTTACGTGTCTTAATGTATCACATGTAGATTAACATTTTGTAGAATTGACATAACTTGTAGAAGTAACTAGGAAAATAGAGCTAACATAATCATATTCTGTCTACTAAAATATTTTTGTTTTCACACTGAAAAGTGTCACTAATGTCTCAAGGGTAGCCTTCAGAATTTCCAATGTGTCTCCTTAGTTTTGATAGATGTTGATCATTTAGCTCTTTAAACCCATAATTTTTTGCACATTCTGCCGGGGTTATTTCATGACATCCTAATAATTATCACCATACCTTATAAAATTTCTGGTTGATTTATAAAAGGTGGATAATAACATATTTTGGATTAGTTTTCAGACAGAGAGAGAGAAATGTAATTGGACACTGTCCAATGGGTAAATTAGAATATGCTGTAAGTGTGCTTGGTTTTAAGGAGTTAAATAGCAGAACCTAGGAACAGAGAAAACCATAATTTTTTTATAAAAAATCTAGTAGATATATCCAGTAATCGTTATTTCTACTAATATTAAATGTAAAAACTCTTTAATATAGTTTTAGTAATAGTCTATATTTTTGATCTTGTGTGTAACAGTCGCGATGATGCATTAGTCTTTTCATAAACATTGTGCTATGTGTATGTTCTGCTCATATTGGTAGTTGATTTTTTTTTAGGGGTTGAAAAGGATGCAACACTCATTGAAGGAAATAAAATTTATTTACATAAAACATCTTGTTGTTTTGTGATGATTTGGCTGATGTGCTATTGCTAACTTAGAAATGCAGACGTCTACTAATCTTATAAACCATTGCACAAGATTTTTATTCCAAATATGCCCTTGTGTACATATACGAGTACATTTAAAAAATGTACAAGTACTGAATACATGAATAAAATTATATATATATAAAATATCCAGTTTGTAGGTTATGGGCTACATGTGTAATGTATAACTCAATATATATATATATATAGTGTGTGTGTGTGTGTGTGTGTATGCACAATTTCTCTTCACCCAGAGGGTTACTCTGAAACACCCGTGCCTATTAAAGGGTATTTTAACCATTTGGTACTGGGTGGGTTTTAAGTTTATATTCTTGTTTAAGGTTTTTCATTACCAAGAGGATCTGTATTAGGGAAAAACTTCTTTAAACAGTTGACAAACTTGTGGAGAGCTTTCACCTTCCTCTTTTAAACATGAAATATATTTTCATAACAAGCCAGACTTTGATATAATAAGACTAAATATTTCATTAAAGAAACCAAATTTGTTTTAACAAAAAATCAATGTAATCACCGAAATTGATAAAGCAAAAAGATTAATAGATGAAGATTTAGGCAAAATTGTATATGTAAAATATTTATAAAATAAGTTGCTCTGGCATTGAATTACGTTGCATTACAAAACATTTCCTAAATTTGCCTTTTTCCTGTACATAAATTCTAAAAATCAAATGTCTTAAATGTTCAGTAGTAGACCTGCCAACTGTTATGACTTGATAATTTATTTATTTTTTAAATTTATGCCTGTATGAATTTTATTATTTTACAATTTTATGTGAAATTCTGGAAGTTTTTCACTGGCCTATTTTTTGATTAAATTTTCTAGAAATAGTTCATTGCTCTCTGCTTTGCATCTCAATTGTACAAATGCTTGAAATAGTCTATTAAAAAAGCGTGTAAGTAGTAAGAATTTAGGGTGCACTGCCCATTCTTTGCGAGTAAAATGGTGGAAAAACATGGTTGTATTCGTCCCCAATGACTCCAACAAAGAAAAGTTTATAACAAGCAAAATTTTAGGTATGAGCATTCAAAAAGTT